CAGGCGCGGGCGGGCGCAGCCGCCGGCACCGCGGGGTGGGGGACCCTGCCCCGGAGCCCGTCGCCAGCCTCCCACCCGGGCTGCACGTTGGCTCCTGCTGTTTCTCCCAGCACCCACGATTCACGGCAAGGGCAAAATCGTGCAGCCCCGTGACGTGGGGAGCAGAAGACAATTGTGTGTGCCCCAGGGGCAGTCTCGGCTTGCCCGACCTGTCCGGTTACCAGGCAGGCTCCTAGGAAAACCGGGAGAGCCGGGACAGCACCATGCTCCAAATAAGGAGAAGCCAGCCGAGTGCATTTGTACTGTCTCGCCTTTCTAATGAAAGGATTGTTACTTTCACACTCAACTTATTTAAATCCTCTGTGAATAATAGTCACTAGGCGCCCGTGTCAGAAGCTGTCAATGTCAGTAAGAGATAGAGTAGGGCTGAAATAGAAAGCCGTGTCTAGTTAAAGTTGTGTTTTGGCCGTCTCAATGCACTGAGCACAGAAGAAGGGAAACTTGAAGTTGATTTACAACCTTGAATCAGAACTCAAAGCCTTTCCATGACTGAACAGAGTCAAGCCCCTTAAGTAAGGCTGACTCCCAGGTCCCCCACCCCGTGCCCCAACTCATTTTAAACACTAATGAACGGCGAATTATCTGGCTTCATTAAACACTGTCATTTCACGACACCAGCATGAAATCTGAACGTTTTGTGAATGTCTTGAAAATCTATGCTTGCACAGGTCTCAGGTATAATGCCAGCTCCTCTGGACGCTGACAAAGCAGTGTCTCTTGGGCCAGAGTGAGTTCAAGGCTAAGATGGGTAGCTTTGGCAAGAGCCCAAGGTCTCAAGAAATAAAAGGGGTTGCAGATATGGCCCAGCGGTACAGCATCTGCCTGTCTAGGTTAGCAACTAAGTAAGGCAGAGATGTAATGGTTTGAATGCAATGTCTCTCACGCTCTCTGGCATTTGAAAAATTTGGTCCTCAGTCGTCGGTAGCTGTTTGGGGAGGATTATGTGTGGCCTTGCTGGAGGAAGTATGTCACTGTGGACAGGTTGCAAAGGACTCGCTATGCCCACCCAGTGTCTCTCTGCTTCCTGCTTGGGTTTGAGATGAGTGCTCAGAATCTGTCTTTGCAGCCATCATAGACTCTGACCCTCTGTAACTGTACCCAATTCAATGATTTCTTTTATCAACTGCCTTAGTCGTGGAGTTTTATCACAGAAAAGGAACTAAGTGATATAGCAGACATCTTCAAAGCATTCTATTTTTGTCACAAGTTGAGCATGCACAGAGGCATTTTCAGACTATAATCTATGTGTATGCTCCTGTCTGAAGATGTCTACTCTCTTGTGACTTATGACTTTAAACTGAGCATGCTTGCGAATGGGCAGGCTCTCATATGAATATGTATAGGCTCTCTGAATAAAATCCTCTGTGCTTCCTGAATCTTTGCTCTGGTAACGGCTCCCATGCTCTTCCTGCTGGGTACAGGTTGCAAATTTTTGTAGTTTACATCCTGGCTTGCTTATTTTGGTTTCACAACAAGCAGGGCATTTTTGTCACGGGTCTGGTAATTTTCAAGTTCCCAGACTAGAGTCACCCTGGACTCTCATATCCTAGACTGAACCCACTAGTAAGTCCCAATTCTACCTTCAGAATATATCTTGATTCCTCCAATCCCACCATCACCTGGCCAGACTTCCCTGGGTGACTGCAGAATCCCATCTGTCCCCGCCAGCATCTATCCTGCCTCTCCTGTGAATCCTCAATACAGTAGACCATACCACACACTCTCAGAAACCTCCAGTGGCTCACCAGAGTAAACAAGAAGAGCACCATTTCTCTCAAGTCTGTGTCAGTTTTGCAAGCTCCTACATCAAACCACAAGTCAGGGGCCACCTTGTGTGTTTTTTGCATGGCTCATTTCTTCGCCTTCTTTGAGTCTTTGCTTAAGTTCACTCACCAGTGCAATTTTTCCTTAACATTGTTGAAAATATCAAGCCTGGCCGGGTGGTGGTGGTGGTGGTGGCGGCGGCGGAAGGAAGGGAGAGAGAGAGAGAGAGAGAGAGAGAGAGAGAGAGAGAGAAGAAGAAAGAAAGAAAAGATCAAGCCTGAGCTGAGCACAATGGATGCTTATCTGTAATCCCAGCAAGCAGAAGGCAGGGGCAGTAGGACCCGGCATTGGAGGCTAACCCAGGCTACACAGCAGGTGTAATTCTAGGGCTGGCAAGAGCTAAGTGGTGGAGTGTTTGCCTAGCATGTGTGCTGCCCCAGGTTTGATGATCCCCAGTACTGCAGCCCAGTCTGAATCCGGCACCATTATGCTTCTTCCTTCTCTACTTACCACACCATCCCTTAGAGATACAGTTTTATCTGTCTGCGTATTTGTTATCCAATACTATCCATACAGCCCACTCTCCATGCCTGACAGCAGAGGGACAGAAGCTCTCGGGATCACTGTCAAATCTCATGTACTTCAAGCAGTTGCTGTCCCTTGGTAGATACACAGCAGTTTGTGAACAAATGAATTAATGATGAAATGAAAAAATTGTTATATTAGAAATATACTTGGGATAACCTACAACTTCATTATTAATGACTCTTGTTTAAATTCAAATTATGAAGCAATTTTATAATGTTTTAAAATCATTTGGTGAGCGATGATGTCGACACATTAAAGAACACTTGTTATCTCTTCCTAAGAGCCTCAGTGAAATACCCTTTCTTGTCAAACCAAAGGGTACAGCTGCTGTCTATTCCAGCCCATGACTGCTATGCATGCTGTGGGAGCCTTAGGCAGGCTGGACAAACACTGAACCACACATTCAACACAAAAGCTCCCTAACAGACATCCATCAGGACACACCATGCTTGGCCATGCACTTTCTCAAGGTTTCTTCTTGCTCTACATCTGCTTAGCTACTTTCAAGGTCACACTTCTTGCTGTTTAGCAACCTCCTGCAAATGTGTTGAAGGTCAACCACGAGGCCTGCCTTTTGTAGCCTTGCTTGACACTTTTAACATAAAATGTCAAAGGAGCCTGGGCTGCAGAGGGACACCATCTTAAAAACAGGAGAAAAATAAAGCAGTCGGGCTGATTTTTGCAATATAAACGACAAATTCTCAACCTATATCTACTTAAAAACTAAACGATCCAGTATCACAGAGAAAGGACAGAATTCAAGCCACATCTTTCTGTCTGAATAAAAAACAAAAAAAAAACCCTTCACATTTAGAAATTTGTGTTTAGTCTTTTGAGGCAGGGTCTCACCATAGGGTGGTCCTTCTGCCTCAGACTTCTGAGTGCTGGAATCACAGGAATGGCCAGCCAGAGAAATTTGTTTTGTTTTTTCAAGACACGGTCTTACTATGTGGTTCTGGAACTCACTGTGTAGACCAGGTTGGCCTTGAAAGTGCTGGGATTAAAAGCATGTGCTACTATGCCCAGCAAGAGAAATAATTTTATGACACATGCCCAAATAACATAAAATATACCTATCAAGATAAATAGGAGATTCTTATTCTTCCACTGATACGGGTTTTTACTCACAATGGAGCTTCCATACTTAAGAACTAAATATGTCATACCAGCTGTAACCCAATGAATAACTAAACTGAAGAGAGTCAACATGATATAGAAATGTATTATATAGAAACGACAGGATAAAAGGGTAGATTATTGAATCTACTCTGAAAGAAAAAAGAGATAGATGTGATAAAAGATAGATTATTGAATCTACTCTGAAAAAAAGGATATAGATATAAGATAAAAAGTAGATTGTTGAATCTACTCTGAAAAGAAAAAAGGGAGGATATAGCTATGATAAGGTAAAAAGCAACTACTCGTTTTAAATATTTTACATTGGATTGGATTTTGTAATTATATGCAAATGTTGTATATTGATACAAATTTGAGATTAATTTTGTTAGAACATTCGGTACATACATTTCTAATCTTGTTTAAGGGACTGTACCTATACAGTTCATTTAACAGTCTTTGAAAATTATTAGCAATTAGGATACAAAGAAATGCAAGTTGGTAGTTATTACAATCGAACTTGTAGTCATACTAGCTATGTTTTCAAGGTCAAACAAATATAATTTAGATAGACAGGTCATCTTCAAACACTTCAGAGATCTACAGAATATGGCATTTAAGATGTTTTAATAAGTCTTTTTTTTTTTTTTTAAATGACAATGAGACATGTCTGCTCCTGGCAGCACCAATCTACTTCTGAGAAGATGATGGGCATCGAAGAAACTCCTTATGGAGTTTACTTTCTTTGTGGCAAGTTAGCCACTGAGCAGGAAAATGCCCTTGCCTCAACTGCTGACAGTATGCTGTCCAAATGGACAAGCAGGACACAAAAAAAAAGGACTGCCAAACCTTGCCAAGACAAGGTAGAAAGGCCCTTCAGAAAATCCTGCTTCACAGAAAAGTCTGTCAGATATGCTAGGCCGATAGGCCGAAGATGGATGGCCAACGTTGCAGAGGAACCTTGGGTGACTGTCCAGGCAGCTGGCTGTTTCTGTCATAACTCACAGTTTTTGGAAGTCACTTGTTTGCACTTCTTGCTTACTCAAGTTAATATTATTTCTTTCTTGGGTGTCTGAGGGAGTTGAAGATTAGATAATTATAGTTATAGTTTTCCTTGCTAAGAAATCCAGAAACTCACTAAAGAGGTGTAAAGTGTGTAAGTTTGAAAGACATGTAAAGATAGTTTTGGGTTGGTAATACAAGTTAGGATAGAAAGTGAATTAGGTACAACATTTTGGACTCACCAAAATAGGATATAATGGAGTATTTTCTCTAAATTTGTCAAATGTTTATAGTCTGGACATTGTTAATATAATTCTTGAGTGTATATATTATATATGGTTATTGTACTTATTGTATATAGTTTTTCTTATATTAGTTATAACTTTCTTCTATTATTTTAGACAAAATGGGTGAAATGTAGTGATATGTTGTATACCCTAATAAAATTTGCCTGAAGATCAGAGAACAGAACAAGCCACTAGATTAAACATAGATGCTAGACAGTACTGACACACACTTTTTCTCTTAGCACTTGGGAGGCAGAGGTCTGTCTGGATCTCTGGGAGTTCAAAGCCACCCTCGACTACATGAGATTGACTCAGTCTAGGAGAGAAACAGAGCCCTGCAGTGGTGGCACACACCTTTAATTTCAGTACTGGGAAGCACACACGCCTTTAATCCCAGGAAGTGATAGGAGCGCGGAGAAAGGTGTATGTGTAGAAGACTCTTAAAGACAGAGCAGTGGCTTGTTCCTTTGTCTCTCTGATCGATCACTCAGCATTTACTCCAATATCTGGCTCCAGGTTTTTTTTATTAAAAGACCTTCCAACATTCAACTTACTTCTGGTATAATTCATGTTACACAACAAAAAACTGATTTTTTTTTTTTTTTAAGACAGAATTTCTATGTGTAATAGCCCTGGCTGTCCTGGAACTCACTTTGTAGACCAGGCTGGCCTCAAACTCACAGAGATCCACCCGCCTCCCAAGTGCTGGGATTAAAGGCATGCACTACCACTGCCCAGTGAAACTGAATTTTTTAAGAGTTAAGGATTATTCCTGAGTAGACTAGACCTTCAACATTGTTTCTTGAAAAGCATATATATTTTTTAAAAAATCAGAAAACTTTTAAAAATAGGTTTGCATGAATATATAAAAGAACTAAAATTAAAATAATTTTAATTTGGGGCTGGAGAGCTGGCTCAGAGGTTAAGAGCACTGGCTGTTCTTCCAGAGGACCCGAGTTCAATTCCCAGCACCCACATGGTGGCTCACAACCATCTATAATGAGATCTGATGCCTTCTTCTGGCCTATAGACATACATGCAGGCAGATCACTCACTGTATATGTAATGAATAAATAAATCTTTAAAAATAAATAAGTTTAATTCTATGTATATACCTTGATATTTCAAGTCATACAAAAGGCTGAAAGGGAAGGGAAAAGTTTCAAAGATGATTTTATTGTAGCAATGTGCAGCTCTACTTAGAGCACGCATACAGCTGCATGATAGCACATAGAACCTTGCTGGCTTTAATATGTGTCTATAACCAACTTCCAATACCCTCTTCTAATAATCATAAACAATGATCTCAAAGGTAGAGCTTACATTAGGGTCACATAACACACAGAATTTCTGGAAAAAACTGAGTTATGGCACCTTTTATTTATATTCATTTTCATTCCTAAAAAAATAAACTAGAGCCATTTATACAGTACAAATAAACTAAAGACACAATACTACAGAGAAACATACAACAGTCAAGAGCTTCACACACGTTTTTCCTTCTAAACGATGATCTTAACCTAAATGCATGGATTCTAAGTTAGCTGGAAAAACGCAACACCCATTTCTAGAATATGATTTATGCTTGCATTGGTATGTTTTCTGTTCCTTTCATCCAGTTTTATACAATAGCACAAAATACAAAGCAAATCCAAGATTCTGAACATAGGAAAGAATAAAACTTGTTTTTAGAAACATTTATCCAAGTAGATTTCTTGTCTCCTTTAGAATACAAAGTCAAGAATTCATTTTCCTGAGTCTCTTCAAGGCCACTTGATGTTGTGTGGTAATAACTTTAATTACATTTCCTCAAGACTTCTTCTAATAGCTTCTTCTAATTCCACATCTGCATTAAAAAACAGAATTTTAAAACAGGATAGACAACCAATGATGTGCTGTTTATGAGTTTTATTAACACACTTCTTTCCAAAGGCAGAGTCAGAATCAATGAACTTATAATGCGATGGAGTTCCTCAATAAAATCTGAGTATTTTGAAATATGAGAATCTGGATATAACCCCAAGTCAACTTTACACATGCACTTAGTGTGCTAAGAGACACGTAAGTTATTTCTATTCAGAGATGTAGAAACTCAGCAGACTCTAGTAGCATTGACATTTACCTATTTCAACAGTGAACAATATTATTTATTTCCTGAAAGACTCAGGATGATACATATAAGAAATGCAAACAGTAGGTTGGCTGGGATGGCTTAGGGGGCACTTGTCACCAAGCCTGATGCAACTTTAAAGAAACGGAATCCAAATGTGACAGCACAGGCCTTTAACACCAGCATGTGAGAAGCAAAGGCAGGGGAGCTCTGTGAGATCAGCAACAAGGGCTACACAGCGAGACACCAATCACCTATGGCGGAAGGAGGGAAGAAAGCTGGTAAAAATAGGCAGATCTCTGAGCTTAGGGCCAGCCTGGTCTACAGAGCAACTCCCTGGCTAGCCAAGGCTACAGTGACATCTTATCCCAAAAAACAAACGAAAAGAAAGGAGGAGGTGAAAGAAGGGAAGTGGGAAGGAGGGAGGTGGACAGAAACAGCAAGGTAATACTATGAAATGGCTGTTAAATTTACTACTTGTCAACTATACCTCAATAAGGCTCAGGGAAAATTCTAAGGCAGAATGAAGCTCTCAGTTACATGGCATCTAAGAAAAGAGAGAGAGACATAGAGGGAAGGATAGAGGGAGGGAGTGAAAGAGAGAGAACACAGGTATGCGTATGCACCTGTCACAAACGTTTGTGAAATGCACACCGTATACCAGGAACAAGACTACAGTACTGGGGATAGGGACATGATTCTGGGGATAATGTTCCTGCCACATAAGCATGGGAATATGAGTTTGGACCCGTAACACATAAAAGATTCAGCATGGTGGTGTGAGCTTGTAGCCCAGTGCTTGGAAGGCAGAGACAGAATGACAGTGCAGCCAAGACGGTAAGCTCAGTTCAGACTCAGTGAGACGCCCTGTCTCAAAAAACAATCAAACAAACACCACCACCACCACAACCCCAACAACAACGAAAGAAGTGGAATGTTACCCTCTGGCTTCCATCCATGCACACATGAGCACACACACCTGTGCACATACATGCAGCACACACAGAGAATAAACACAACAGTGAACAGAACAAGCATCACTAGCTCACAGGTCTTTTTCTGTGTTCCCACTGAGAGTGAGTGAGGCTAAACTCCAGGGGGGTGGGATTAGGAGTCAACTCATCAGCTTGTACTAGCTTCTCACCAACATCTTTCCCCATCTGGTCTGTGATGGACAGGCACTAGTGGCACCTCTAAGAAGTTTCCTGAGCTGCATTTTCCTGAGCGGGAGCTCTGGCTTGTTATGTTGTCTGCAATTTAAAATATTAAAAGCTAGTCTACACCATGCATTAAGTTACAGCTATACTCAAGGACTGTGAGATACCCTAAGATGAATTCAAAGAAGTCAGTTAAACACAAAGAAAAGCTATGACACTTAGCAAAACACAGACTGTCAAGACTTCTATATAAACTTACAGTAATTAAGAATGTGGTATTACTGATATAGAGCAGCAGAACTGTCCCAGACACAGAACCATGATTACAACAAAGGTAACCTAGGAAAATATGCTCTTTTCAGTAAATGGAGGTAAAAAAAAAAAAAAAAAACTAATAGGCCATATAGGAAAATAGAGATTTCCTCCTATTTTAAGGAATATACAAAAGTAATTTCCTGATATAGCCAATAGTAAAAGTAAGCAGGTTGAATGGAGCCTGAGCAGCACAGTGCGGTCCTGACGAAAAGCAAACAGGCTGGAGAGATGGTCGGTGGTTAGCAGTGTTTGCTGCTCTCTCAGAGGACCTCCTGTTCTTGGTTCTCAGCACCCACGTGATGACTCATAACACCTACAACTCCAGTTCTAGGGGATCTGACACTTTCTTTTGACTTCCATAGGCATGAGGTATGTACATAGTACACATATATACATAAAATAAAATAGATCTTAAAAAGATAAAAATAAATAAGTAAATAAAACAAGATAGACCACATGGAACCATTCAATGACGAAAAAGGTCAATCAATGTCACAGTGGGAGAAAGTATCTGCTATACACAAAACTAGTGCCCAGGAAAAAAGAAAAAGTGATCGTCAACCCATAGATATCAAATTGATCCAATAGAAAAAGATATTTGAAAGGGAATCAGGAAAGGTAGTATTTATGTGGTTAGCACACATTACTCATGAGGGGTAGGAGTGGTGTGCCTATGAAGCATGAAGCCCTGAGTCTGATATCTAGTACTGAAACACACTACAAAACAACAACAAAATAACCACACATGCTATTACTGATCAAACAAGTAAATTAACCTACAAAGGTGAAAAAAATCATCACCAAAAAAAAATAAAAATAAAAAAGTAGTAGTACACAATTATTTTACTAAGATTAAAAGGACTGAATGACCCAGGTGCGGTGGTTCACACCTGTTTCCTCACTCAGGAGACTGAGGCAGGACTGCCATGGGTTCAGAGTTGGCCTGGATTACATAATAAATTCCAAGCCACTTACCTGACCAAAAGCGAGGTTGTCTTATTACAATCAGTGACACAACCACATTGGAAAATGTTTTAGTAATATGTCAAGTTCAACCTCAAAAATTCCTGTCCTAGGTATATATCCCCAGAAATAAGAAGAGATATACACCAAGAATTACACATGGCATGAGAAAGAACATAGCTGAATCACTTCCGTCAAAATAAAGAAATGAAATGTCTATTCCAAGCAATCATTTCATGCTCAACACCATGCTAGGTTCTGATGAAGGAAGGAAATAAACATGATATGAACTCCTCCGGGAGCTCAGAGAGATGAGAATGTAGACAGAGCTATGTCAAGGGCACCTGGCATGGTACAGTCACAGCTTTCTACAGATAGTAGCTGTAGCCACAGCTTGGTCCCAAACCAAAGAAAGTCAGCTGTACATAGTGTAAACCTGTACTCTCAGCTACTAGGGAGGCTGAGGCAGGAGGATTATGAGTTCAAGGTTGCCTAAACAGTATGGACACCCCATCTCAGCAAAACCAAACCAAACCAGAAAATTAAGAGAAATGACATCTGAGCTACTTATTGTGTAGAGGACAGGGGTGGGGGACAGTGACTAGAGACTGGAGGGATGTCATATCCCTTCCTCCGCAGGGATACACTGCGGACTGAATGCTGTCAGCACAGAAGGCATCATCAGGAACCAAACAAACCACCTTCCACGGCCCTTGGATGTTCTAGGAATGGACTTCATGTTGCCACCGCAAATGAACCAGTGAACAGTTGAAGGCACTGTCTTTTGGATCCTCTCGTTTGTTAGATTTTTGAGAGAGGGTCTCATGTAACCATCCAAGATTCCAAATCTCTAGATAGCCAAGGATGTTCTCAAATGTCTGGTTGTCCTGTCTGTTTACCTAACGACAGATTGTAAGCACATACCACCAGATCTGGTCTTAAGCGGCACAGTAGGCAAGCACTTTACCAACTGACCTATGTCCCCAGCATGTTGTTTGGAATTTTTAGCAGTAATTCTTTCCCCAAACTAAGAACTATAAAAAACACTCCATTTCCTAACTATAAAGCACATTGCAAAAACAACAGAATGGGGCAGGTTCTGAAACATACTCAGTTGTACACAATGCAGATTAACCAGGTTAGCCAGAAGTCCACAAACCTGAAGAATCCCAATATGTGGGTAGCTAAAATTTAGAATTTTGGCTGTCAATTTCCTGGAATTAGTCATAGGTTTTTGAATAAAGGTTGAAAAAAATCTGAGTTTCTGCTCAATGGTGTTTATCTTTCAGTGGTCTCGGCAAGCAACTTGGTGGTACTTTCTGTTTCAACTCAACTAAGGTTCTTTCTCTGCCTAACTCAACATTACGTGAACACTAAGCACAGCCTGTGACTTGGCTATAAGAGAAAAAGACCACAGATTGAGTTTATTAAAAAAATAAAATAAAAAGACAGAAAGAAAAAAAAAGAATCAATTCCATCGCCAAACTCAAATTCCAAAGCTCCTCCAGCATATGGCTCCAGTCTGCTCTTGAGAGACTAACTAAATGCGAAGGAAACAATGACCCGGGCTGTCTCCTCTCCACAGTCAGCCACATTCCCTTTCCTACTTCCCGCCCACCCTGCCTCAGGGCCCACAGGCCAGCAACAGTGGAAACGACTCCTTCATTAGCAGAGACTGTTGTACTTTCTACGCCATCAGTGCAGTCTCAAATATCTGCGAAGATCTACTTCCTGCTCCTCCGTGATTATTAAAAAACTCAGTTTATAACGGAAAGGATACATTTAAAAAGGAAAGGATAAATTTAAAAAATGGTTAGACAAGGAACGCAGAATGCCAAGTCACACAAACAGCTCCCTAGCCTATGGTGAAGGAGGAAAGGTGTGCTTCTACCGGGGTTTGAATAAAAATGGCCCCCACAGGCTCACAGGAGTGCCATTATTAGGAGGTGTGGTCTTGTTGGAGGAAGTGTGTCACTAGGGGGTGGGCTCTGAGGCCTCAGATGTGCAAGCCAGGCCCAGTGTTTTCTCTCTCTTCCTGTTGCCTGCCAATCTGGATGTAGAACTTTCAGATACTTCTCCAGCACCGTGTCTGCCTATGTCCCACTGTGCTTCCTGCCATGACAATGGACTAAACCTCTGCACTGTAAGCGAACCCCAATTAAATGCTTCCCTTTATAAAAATTGCCATTATCATGGTGTCTCTTCACAGCATTCGAAACCCCAACTAAGACAGTTCTTAATAGATTATTCGCAAGTGAGGCATTGGACTGGATGTGGCCAAATGACCACAGTATGTTCACTTTTCAGTCATCTTATGTAGTGAGGAAATCGTCTACGTGGAGGAATGAGGAGAGAGTGAAGGCACAGGAAATGACAGACCACTACAGCAGCGCACACTGCCGTGTGGCAGGGACAAGCTCTTACCCTCTGTGGATCTGAGCTCCTCCACGGGAGTGCCTTTCACACCAGTGCCGTCGTCACTGTCACACTCTGGAAGAGAGAAGTGCAGATGCATTTCTGAAGAACTGTGTCCTGCCTTTCATACTCTCAGACAGTCCGCGCTCTTCTCCTCTCTCATCTTGTTACTGGATTTTTTTTTTAAAGCAGAATTTCCCTCTGTAGACAAGGCTGGCTTCAAACTTACAGCAATTCTCCTGTCCCAAGTGTGAATCACCATGCTTGCCAAACAACAGTATTGTCAAAGACTTTCCTCATACCACACTTATTCATTAGTACCACACAGCTAGCCCCACAGGCTTGCTGCTAATGCTTCCTAGTAATATTAAAAATTGACAAAGTCTCCTGTATTTTCAAATCATTGGTACTCATCTTTATAAAGATAATAAAAAGCCCTAATTGACAATGGCACCACACGACACAAACTCATTTAGTGTCATACAGACTTTCATAATGAGCCTCAAGTTTCTATAAACTGCCATGATTAACCAGCTATGGGAAAAAAAATCACTTCTGGTATGATCAGTGACCTTGTTATTTATCTGGCTAATCACTTTTAATCAAATTTAAATAGACGTATATCAATGTAACAACAATTACCTGTAAGATATGCACATAAATAACATAAATATCATAGTAGCTGAATCAAAATAAAAATAACTAAATATTAGTACTAGCTTCTGCAAAAATATTAAAAAAGTTCACAATTGTCTATGAATAAAATTTAAGTTTTGTATTTCTTTTTTTTTTTAAATTTATTATGTATACAGTGTTCTGCCTGCATGTATACCTGCAGGATAGAAGAGGACACCAGATCTCATTACAGATGCTTATAAACCATCATGTGGCTGCTGGGAATTGAACTCAGGACCTCTGGAAGAGCAGCCAGTGCTCTTAACGGCTGAGCCATCTCTCCAGCCCCTAAGTTTTGTATTTCATTACATGTTTTTATCGCAGAAATTTTGCTATTTAAGTAAAATGCTTCACATATTTCCAGCAGTATATTTTTCATTTCATTTAGTTTTTTGTTTTTTTTGTTTGTTTGTTTGTTTTTTTTGTTTGTTTGTTTTGGTTTGGTTTGGTTTTGGTTTTTCAAGAAAGGGTTTTTCTGTGTAGTTTTAGTGCCTGTCCTGGATCTTGCTCTGTAGACCAGGCTGGCCTCGAACTCACAGAAATCCACCTGGCTCTGCCTCCCGAGTGCTGGGATTGAAGGCATGCTCCATCACCACCTGCCCATTTCATTTAGTTTAAAAAACCAAAGCCAGCCTCTAGAGTCCAGAGAATAGACATAGAAAACAAAGAGAGAAAGAGCTGGTGAGATGGCTCAGCTGCTAAAGGTACCTGCCATCAAGCCTGACTACCTGAGTTTGATTCCTGGTCCCACATAGAAGAGAACCATCTCCTGTGATCTCTGTAAGTATGCAGTGGTGTATGTATGTGTACGCACAACCACAAATAAATAAATGTAATAAAGTCTACTTCAAAAGACAGCAAAAGGGAGAGGGAAAAAAAAAACAATGAACAACAACAAAAAAAAAAACAAAAGAATAAAAAAGAAGTATCTACAGGTTTCTGCTACCACAATGTAAAGTCTAGGTCTCCCAAGAGCAACATGTCCAACCTGACCCTAACATTTCACCTCTTAGGTCCAAAAACATGAAGTTGTCAGTCTGAATCGCATGCACAGCATACACAGGGCTGCAAGACTTAGAACAGGTTCTTTTGCCTCAACCAACCCATCCCCACAACTGAGAACATCACTGACAATCTACTTAGAGTCTACTGCACAGATTAACTATACTATAAAGACTAGGGAAACAATAAGCAGATGGGCCTTTTGATTTGATTCAAAAGTTATTTAACATAATGCCTATTCTATAGGCCATGTTATTACCTCAATAGTCTACACAGTCACAACACAGATGAGCTTTTACATCCACTTTTAAGATGGATTTCCGCATCTGTATGACTTTCACTCTACAGACACCAATTACACAAAGCAGAGGGAAGGTGGATGGACAACCGACCAGGGTTGCTACTGCATTTCTTAGAGTTGCAGGCTATGTACACACAGCCCACTGCAATGCCCGACGTTCTACACAGTCTGAGGGGCCTGGAAAGAGGAAGATGAGTAACTGTTCAACGCAGATGCTAGGGTGTTTATAACACGACTGCTTTCCTTGGCTGTTCAGCAGAACTCTCACAACCTACTTCTATCTTCTGACAGAAATAAGAAAGTCCCTGGGCTGGGTGGTGGTGGTGGTGCACACCTTTAATCCCAGCATTTGGGAGGCAGAGCCAGGCGGATCTCTGTGAGTTCTAGGCCAGCCTGGTCTCCAAAGTGAGTTTCAGGAAAGGCGCAAAGCTACACAGAGAAACCCTATCTCAAAAAAAACAAAAAACAAACAAACAAACAAAAAAAAAACCACACACACACACACACACACACACACAAGAAAATCCCTGAATATTGCTTCAAAGAGAAAATATATCACTTCTTCATTCTTAAAGCACATGGCTAGAGCCAGCACCTTCCAGTGTGTGGGAGGGGTGGGTGGGGGACCTCTCCAACATAGGATCTGGCTTGTCCAGAGGAAGTCTGACCCATAGCAGACGGCACTGAGGAAAAGAAGGCACAGTGGCCACAGGCAGGTACTTTAAATTTTCTAAATCACTGCTGCCTTGCCTCTAAAGTGGAGATCTATAATCC